AGAGAGAGAGAGAGAGAGAGAGAGAGAGAGAGAGAGAGAGAGAGAGAGAGAGCGGGTAAAGATGTCTTAGAAAGGGAATCACGTTTCAGTAATCTCTCTGTAAAAATGAATGTCGAGATCAGGGATTAAATTTGATTCTTTCACTTTTTTTGTAACAGTCGTACAGAATATCAATAGAAAAAGTGTAAGACTTTTATATGTGATAAAAACATTGCCCGACGAAGACATTTATAATGAAATATATCTGATTTGAGTTTTCGTTTCAATGAAAGTTATGAATTATAAATAATAGACTCCTTTTTTAAAGACTAACTTTTGAATTTTGTGGCTCTATTTTGCCCTCATTTTTACTGCTTAACAGAAATATGATATGAAATTATATTGAAATTGTGTTTTTATATTGGATTACATTATAAAATAGACTTACGTTTAAACTGGAGCACAGAGAATAAAAATTTGAATAAATCGATTAAATTCTCTATACTTTTTGTGTTGGATTCAGTTTTTGGGTTTTGTTTATTCAAACAAATTCATGTGTAAACATATCAACACACTTTTCAACCAATTTTATTTTACAATACATTATGTTTTTATTCACAACGCTGTATAACAATTGACAAAAATACATTCACATTATAATACATAAATATTTATTTATCTTGTTTTGTTTGTGGACTTATAGCCCTGTTTTCCCCGTAATTTGCATTACATTTATAAAAATATCATTAATTATTAATATAATTGATAACAATAACATTGATTTAAAAAATTAAATCCTCTAGCTTTAATTGACTAATTTTATAGTTTTGAATTCTTAATTTATGTAATTGTATTATTCTAGGATTTTATTACTAATGATATCGGCTAATAATTATTTTGCTTCAATATATTTCAGGTACTAATCAACGTTTGGGGAGCTTTTAGTGTAATATTTTTAGCCACATATACGGCTAACATTGCCGCACATTTTGCCGGTCTATTCCGTATTCCTGAAGTCAACGATTTTCGTGATTCGAGCGTAAGTTTAACCAACTTTTGCTTCAATTTATTTTTTTGTCTGCAAAAAAGCTTCAAATCAATTGATTATTGATTTGATTGATTGCAACTGAAATGACTTTTTGCAGATAAGAACTCCTCCTTATATGGATTCAAACACTGGGTTTTTACCATTTCTCGCAATCAATTTATAAAAACTCTTTTGACGTCTATATTACACACAATTAATATTATTTTATCAGATGGATTAACTGTATTAGCTTTATAATATTATATAAATAGACCATGCACACACAAATCCAGTTAACTAGAATTTCTATATAATATTTTTCAATACCTAACGATAGCTTAAAAATTCTGATTGTCGTTTGTATGGACTTCAATGGGTTTATAGAAAATAGTTATTTGTTTGAAATATTAGTGCAAAAACAGATTTAACTGCATTACAGATGTGAGTCATTAATAAATCACTTTTTGTTTTTTAACCAAAAAAGCTTATGAAACAAAGGACGGGAACCGCTAGAAGTAGCGCTTCTGAGGGATATTTAATGGAGAAATATACCGATCTTTGGCATCACATCGAGAAGAATAATGTCCACAACTTTGATGAAGGACTCGAACACTTACGGTCTGAAACCACTCTTTATACCACTGTTTTTGTGCTTTTATATTGAAAATATTATATGCATTACAATTTGATGACAGAAATAACAAGTTGGATGTCCTGATTGGGGATACGGCTATATTAGACTATTTCCGAGCCACTGATCCCATCTGTAATTTAACACTATTAGGGGATTCCATCTTCGATGACGCCTATGCTATAGGAATGCAAAAAGGCTTTCCATTTCGGGTACATTTGCTTCATATCTATTCAATTAATCTGTTTATTATTTGCTAGAATTGTCTCAATTTATAGAAAAATTTATGTCTTGTTTTTTATTTTGTTTATGACTAGAAAATAACCGAATTATTGTTTATATGTGTTCATAAAATTTAATTGAATTTTGCTTTTAATATCAGTTGTAAAGGATTTATATTTCCAAACAAAATATCAATTTATTTTATCAGATTATCCAATTTCACAGCAAATATTATACTATATTTTCACATTATTTCACGCATTTATAGTCTATTAAAACATTGACGTATTTTTACTGGTATATGGACTTAAGGATAGATATCTACTTTACCACTAAAGAGGGGCATTTAGGGCGGTTCTGGATTTTGGATAGAATTAGTTTCTTAAAATTAATTTAATTTTTAATAATAATTTTCAATAATAATTTTCGTACGATAAAAGTTTCCGAATCTAATTAACTATTTTTAGTATTTAAATTAATATAACAATTCTGTTATAACTTATAAGTGAACATAAGATGCTAGTATTTTATTCACGTGTTTATTTAAGTTTTAGAAAAATAATTTTCATTTTTAAAAATCAATATTTTGTTTGCAATATTATGTTAAGGAATAAAATTGTTGAAGTAATTTAGTATTTGAGAACAAGAATAGAATTAATATTTGTTTTGGCAATTTGTTAAATGTTCAAACTTTTGTATATAATATACAGAATCTGTACAGAATTTACAGCCATTGGTATTGCGATATACTCTTTGAATTGTTAGCGAATTTTTCACTTTTTCGGTGCCAAACCATCACATGTTATGAAATTCATTACATCTCACAATCGATTTAAGCTATGAATCATTCGTCCGATAAATATATATATCGTATAAAGTGTCGGGATTTTGAAAAATTTGGGTTATTTCCAGACTTTTCTATTATTTCAACTATTTATACAACCAAAGAGAGAGAGAGAGAGAGAGAGAGAGAGAGAGAGATGCATGAATTGGATGAATAAAGAAAAAATCAATCATTTTCTTCTTCTTTTATATAATATGATGGGATGTGTTATACAGAATGTGTTGTATGTGTTATGCCTTACATTTGTGAACGTATTGTCATTTGATGTCACACTGACTCTAAAATTTGAAAACATTTTTTCATATGAATGCAAACCCAACAAAGGAATTGATCTCAAGTTTGATACTGAAGTATAACGAGTACGGCTTTCTCGACCAATTGCACCGCAAATGGTATGGAAGAGTCCATTGCCTCGAGTCGTCGGCACTGACCAAACCCAAGCCTTTAACCGTCAAAGCAGTCGCCGGAGTATTTCTAATGCTCTTCTTCGGCCTAATCATCGGAACCGTTATTTTACTCACTGAACACTTTGTCTTCAAATACATGTTACCGTCGCTCAGAAAGAAACCCAAAGAATGTTTCTGGAAGAGTCCAAACCTCATGTTTTTCAGTCAAGTCTGTCATCAAAATTATTATTGAAATTAATATTCAAAATCACTCTAAAATTATTATGGTTTTCATTTTAATTCCCATAGAAATTATATCGTTTTATAAATACCGTAGAATTGGTTTCACCGCATCATTCGGCCAAAGAGATCATGACTAACCTCAGGGAAGGACAGATCGCCAGTCTTTTCCAGAAAAGTGTCAAAAGAGTGAGTTTTTGATGTTTATTAAAAGAGAGTTCATTCAGATATAAATAGACGATTTAATGCATTGTAAAGACATTGAAATTAATTCACAATTGTTTAGCCGAGAAATATGTAATAAAGTATTTGTTTCTCATTTTGTGCGTAAATGTTGTCAAACAGAAAGCGAAAGAAGAGGCCCGACGTCGCAAAAGTAAATCTCAATTCTTTGAAATGATTCAAGAAGTGAGAAAAGTGTAAGTATTTAACACTTTAATGAGAATATGAAATGCAATTATTTTCGATAAGTGATCGCATGACTAGAAATAAGGATTTCATTTTTTCTTTAAATATATTCACATTTTTAAATATTTCTCTCATTTGAATGTTTGACTTATGATTGAATACAGAGTTCAACGTCAGGCACACGAAAGAAGTTTTAACGACTCCATTGAAGCGGCGGCTGGAAAGCCGTCTGTCGTCACCAATAAAAGAGATTCAATAGTAACAGAAACTGAATCTCTTGGGGCGCCGACCACTTACAGGACGTCATCGATTCGCTTTAAAGAGCCCGACGAGAGCTTTGATGAGCGCATACTTGTCCACAGAGAGCCCCTTCCGGCGCATCTCATTGTGAAGCCGGTCTCTAGTCTTAAGAGTACGAGTTCTGACTCGAGAACCAGATTATTGAAGTCGAGCCGAACGTCCACTTCGGCCACAAGTAGTGGTGAATCCACTTATTATAGAAGTCCGGCGTCGCCTACTGTTAAACACAAGCCCCGGTCCACACAGCCCTTCACATCTCAATTCACTAATAGTTTCAGTTTAGAGAACGTCTCCTACTCTTCAATAGCCGACACAAGTCTGACGAATAAATACTTCGACCGAAAGACACAGAATCGGAGAAAGATGTGGTCTTTTGACGATTTGGATGCAATCAAACGCGAATTGAATGAACCGATGTCTCCCAGCGATCGAAACCATTCTAGTCTTATGTTGTTTGAGTTCTTCCCCAAAAAGAGTTCTGTGATTATAGCGAGTCCTCGGCATCGGATCGACAGCTTAAGGCTGGCGTCGATGAGCAAAGAGGATGTGCTGGCGATGTGGAGGTCCTCTGAACGGGAACTCCTGAATCAACTTCAAGACGCTCTGCAACAGAAGCGAGCGCTGGAGGAAAAGGTAGCTCTTCTGCAGAGAATGCTAATGAAGCCGCCCTGAGATGAGTGCTGTTTAGGCACCAGAATTCTAACACATAAACGATCTGTTGGTTAAAACAAACACTACAAATGTTTTCATGAAGTCATCATTTGATTGATTTTATTCACTCAAATTGTATATCGATTTCATCGCGTTTTCCAATTTACTGATACAAATCGAGTGACTATTTTATGACCGAATAGTATATGAATTATGATATGAATGGAAAGATTGGTTTGACTTAAATGTTTGGTTTGATGTTTCGGTTTGTCCCGACTTAACCACACATGGGTTGTCGTCGTTGTTGTGCTGTTGTTGAGCCAAACTTTTATATTATACAACTTTTACTGGTTTGTAAGACAACACATCATATTTATGATTATTATTATCATTAATATATTGTTATGTTATTTCAATTGATATAATAGTTTTTGCAATCATATATATTGTTATTAATCTATAATTATTGTCTAAATTAATTAATGTTTGCATAAATTCTTTTTAAAATATTATCAAAAGATTCAATTAAAATATATAAATATATATAAGTTTTGAGAGACTAATCCTTTGCCGCACTTTTAATTACATTTTAACTGAAATCTCTTATAAATAGTTAGCAAATTGTATATAAGGATTATATTTAATACATTGAAAAATTAATTAAATATGCAATTTTATAAAAACTAAAATAATAAACACTTTATATAGTAAATAGTGTTGGGGCTATAATCTAATCTCTAATTGAAATGGTTTAGGACTTATTGTTATTTTCTATTTAATCATCGCTTTCTGTAGTTTAGTTTAGTTAACAAATATTGCTTCCATTGGCGCTCTTTTTAGATCGATATCTATAATAATAGCCACAAAATAAAGTATATTTGTCTCGGTTTTTGCAAATATAGATATAATGTACAATTCGATGCATCTCTTCGTTATTAAGCTCTCAATTTTTGGCAAACTTTTTCATATTTTTTATTATTAGACATGAGTTTGTTTTGTGCTTTACAACTGTTAATATAATATATATATTATATATATTTCTAACTATAATTGAATCAAATAATAATAAATTCAAAACTTATTTCAATGGAAATAAAAAGTCAGAGAAAAGACAAACTTAAAGTGTATATAATATATTACATTCGCGATTGACTTTGAGTTCCTTAACAAATACAAAGCCATTCATAGCTTTAAGGGAAGTAATGTTTCTCTTTTTTCTTCATCTTCTTCTTCGTCTTCTTCTTATCAATCGTTGTCTTATTTTTGAGAAGACTTTTCATTGAAACTTATTTTTTGAGTTATCGCTAGTTTTGAATTTGAGAGCGAAATATATAAATATTATTTCAAAGAGTATATTGTTATATACAGTGAACATAATATAAATTATATATATATTTAAAAGTAATATTTCAATAATCAAAGTGTAAACCACAACAAAAACAACAAAACCTCTTAACGACTAACTGTTTGACGGCTCTCTTCTTGAATTTAGTATTTTTTGAATATTTAACAACAAAATCATTACAATTAATATTACATACAATTATATTCAAACATTATTTTTTGAAACGTTGGCTTTTTGTGATATAGGGGTCAACCCTTTATTCCCCTCTTTATCACTAAAATTATATAATTTTAAGTTTTTTGTTTAATATTCATTCACAGCTAATGACAAGAATTTAATCATTACTTTGAAATTCAGGGTATCATTTAATTTCAATCAATTCAAACACACAATATATCCAAAACAAACATCGCTAACGATTTACAAACAAAAAATAAATACTTTAATGTATATAAGATTTTTTAAATAAGTAACTTAATTGCAACGCAAATCATATATTCATATAAAAACTTATAAATATATCTAATAGTTGTATAATATTAGTTGTATATATGATATATGGATTGTATTGTTTTTAAATTACATTAAATGCTTGCAAAACTAATGTTTGATTATTTATATCGAAAAAGGTTTTAACGTTTTAAAAATACATATGAAATTGTTATCCCAATAGGTTTTTGTGTGAAGCAATAATTAATTAACATTATATTATGTATTCATTATAAACTTTACCATCATTGTTATTTAATTTTAAATTCAGTTATATGTTATTATAAATAGTTATTGATTATAGTTATTGATTATAGTTATTGATTAGACTAATAATAATAATATAAATACAAATTTAATGAATTTATGGGCCAAACAAACAATTTTTGAAATATATATTATATATATATAAATATAATGAATTGTA